ATCTGAAATGCGTGACCCACACCCTTGTAGACCATCATATTTACCTTCTTACCTGCATTAGCCATGGTAGAGCAGAACTCCTTGTTCCTATCCATCAAGATATCCATGTCTGACACACACACCATTGTAGCTGGAAGTTCTATGCTATTCAGTTTAGCTGCGCCTTTGGCTAGAGGGTTGCACCATGGGTGCTCCCGGGTAGAGCCCATTGGGAGGGATAACCGCCAATAGGTATCAGCTGCTGATAAAGTAAGTGCTGATCCGTATGGTTGAGGGGCCTTTTCAGATGCAGTTCGTGCCTCACCTCCAAAGAAAGGTTGGATTAGGATAGTACCTCGGTGAGAGAGTGGCCTTAGAAGGGTTGACCTTGCTGATCTGCTGGCCCCAAATCTTAGAGCGACATTATGAGCTATGTTAGCTCCTGCGCTGTCACCTGCTAGGAAGAAACCTAAGATATTGCAGCAGCTTAGCCACCAAGAATGCTCTCTTGAGCCATTGGTAGCTTGCTCCTTCACCCACATGACGGTGTTGTAACCATCCTCATAGGCAGCAGGAAGACGGTTTTCAGGGGCTAGACGATAATTTACTGACATGACTACACAACCTGCTTTAGATGCTAGGTTGGATATGAAGTCATGGTAACACATCCACGCTGCTGAACCTACACAGAAACCTCCTCCGTGGAAGTAGACGAGTAGAGGCAGGTTCCTTTGTCCTTGTGGAACATAGACACGTGCCCACAGATTAGTTGATCGGTCCATGACAATATCCCTTGAAGTCACCCTTAGCTCAGAAGGAATGTTGCAAGGGACATTTGGGATGATTGGTGGCCTTTCAACATGCCCATCTTTACATACCCTGATGAGCCCTTCTATTTCTTCCACCAAAGCACCGTGATGGTGGTGTTTTCTTGCATTGAGACTCAGTCTTGGATCTAGAGAGAGGGCAGCCATTCTCTTTTTGACTTTACAAATAAGAGAATGTGTGTTATTATGCATGTCAGTATTTCATTGAGTCCTTATATAGGGGAAGAGGTCAAAAAAGATGACCAATGTGAATACTTCAAACTAGAAAGAAACTTGATGCTCTCTTTATCTGACAAGTGGGAAATTGGGAGCTCACGGCTCACCGTTTTAATGTGAGGTTAATTTGATATTTCGGCTAGGGTGTCCAGCACCTAGCTTTTTGATGATGCTATTTGTATGTAGTTAAACCTTTATTTGGATGTTTCCGTAGTATCTAATCAGCCTAGGCAACATGATGGAATAATGATAACAGTATCTGATGGTACAAGCAGGGCACTGACAGCCAACAATACTTAGCTGCTGATAAACTTGAATTTAACTGATATGTTTGTTTGGATGGCTAGAAAGGAATCACCAAAATCTTGTCAACAGAGACGAGATTTAGCCGGTGATTTGTTATTTGGTGTAACTGGTGCATATGCATCATAAGTAATGAAAATAATTTCATGCAGTGGGTCCAAACAACTCTAGCTCAACTTTAAGAAGCTAATCAGTAATTTATTGGAAGAGACTGTTACAAGTTGATGAACAGAGAATGTAATTCCACCTCTAACACATCTTGTTAGGACTTGTCTATCAAATGCCCACTAAATGGAATCTGTTGATCATCCTTTAAGATTCTGTGGGAAGCTGTAACTTGATGGATAATAGTTCTGTCTTTTAGCACCGTATATATTGGATGTTTATCGATTAGCAAATTCCTATGTACAGTAAGATTTTGGCAATATGAATCTCAATCATTCTAGCCTATAATACTGTACAATAACTACGACAGTGGCTCGCCTTGTATGAACTGATGGGATCAGATGTGTGTAACCTTGCTACTTATTGAAAAAGGCTGTTTTAGTGATGTCTAATCATTGCAAACAAGTTGTTTCAAAGAAAACATATATTAGATGTTTGAATTAATTCACTATGATATGGTAAAGCTGTACTGGCCTAAAAAGTATTAACAACATGAATATACTAATTAATATAGTTGATCACAAAACCTATTTAAGATGATTTTTTATGTTCTTTGCTTTTATTTTTGGGGATTAATAGTGGGAGGGGGTTAGAAAACTGTTTAAGAATGATTCCTAAACCTCAACTGTATCAAATTCTAACATGGAATATAATGGTTTAAGAATGAAACCAAAATCAATCTTTCTACACCAATAGCCATTTGAAAGTATGATAAACATGGTTTATAAAGTCGGATGTGTTATTTTTGTTCTGATTGACCAGAATCTGATGAGTTTTTGGAGCTACATGGTGCTGGGGGCAATTGCCCATTCGGCTTATAGCCAACTTAATAGTGCATGCATTCAGACATACAAGGCTTAAAGTTCTTATTCTTGAAATGCTTTTAGTAAATTCTTGAGATATGCTTACTGAATGTAAGGGAATTATATTTATCCTTCATTTTGGATTTGAGGTGTTTGCTAGCATCTTATTGGAATTCTTTCTAAGCCATTTGTTTGCAGTATCGCCTTCTGGCTTAGCTTTTGACTTTCTGACCTGGAAATAATTGTGGAGATATTCCGTGATGGTTGATCTTTCTTGCAAATTACTCCATATTTTTCACATTTCTAGAAATACTTTGTTTTCCTACTGTTAGGTTTAGGCTGCAGGTCAAATACGAGACTCAGGACGAAAACCTGTCATCCTAGTATCTGTGTGCTGAAGCGCTTGTATTATTGTAATACAATCAAATCTGACTTTGCCTAAGAATACTATGTGCTAGTTATACCTTTGAAAATAATATTCGAGGTCCAAGGATAATACTTTGCCTAAGCACATAGATTGGTCATGATTCAATGCATGACAATTTCTTCTAGGGCTCTGACATTTTCATACTGATTGAGCTTGATGTTTATTTGTTTATAAATTTAGCCACAATAATTCCATGCATCTATTTTGAATTATGATTATGAATATTCTAGCAAAGGGGGAAATCCTGCTTAATTCAGAGTAATCTCTTGGTTAAAAAGGCCATATATTCTTTTGATATTCTTCTTTTAATTTTAGCAGTCAGTCTGAGATCTGGAAGATATATTCTTTACTCAAAATTCTTTTAACTACTTTTTCTCCCTTGCTCGTGATGCAGGTACGAAGTACTTAGAAGATGGCTTAAATAAATATTACATAGATTTCTCTAAGCATGCTTGAAAAAGTTAATTTTTTAGTAGAATCTATGATATCCTGACCTCAAGCTCTGGCTAAGCTGACTGGAAGCTTGCACGACTGCACGTTATATTCTGATCAAATGCATAGATTCTGAACGGAGTTGTTAGAGTCAACATGAAAATTTGCTTTGCAAACGCTAAAGCAACATTCATGGAATGTGACAAGGCAAGTCCAGCTTATAGTCTTTTACTATAACTCTTTAAGCATGTACAATTTTCAGGGGTCCCAAATAGATTATATTCCTCTAAGGATGATATGCAGAACTATGAATTTCCAAGTACAGAAAATGGATTTACCCCCATTAGGATTATAAGATTGCGATTTGACCTGTTGAGGTTGAGCTAACAGCAATACCTTCTCCTCTGGCATACCCATATCGTCTGATATATGATTGGATTCTTTCTATCCTTTCTTCCTCACCAAAAACAAATCTTTCATTGCTACCGCGGATATGCAAATCTCTGTAGCTTTATGCTCCCGCATATTGTTCTCCTTTTGACTATGTATTAGAGAGCAAGACAAAGACATATTATCTCTTACAGTAGCTTTTTACTCTACCTATATCTTGACCCTGTAGCATATTTTGTGAAGAAGTTTCTGCTGAGCATCTTTGCTATATGACTGATGGCCAGCATGTAAGCATATTAGTTCTTCAGTTAGATTGCTTTAGTATAATGTTCCTGTTATCCATATGCTAGCAGATTAAACACAAGTCTTTTCAGTAACTCAGTGGCCCTTTCTTTAGGTTTTTGGTTTTTGTGGGAGCAAAGAGTGCCTCCAGTCCAACCATTGTTGAGTTAATGCCAGGGTCACGTCGACTTTTTTTATTGGACATTCTTCACTCGCTTGTCAAATCAGTTGGTCAAGTCGGTAAATCAAATCACAATTCGGTTTCTTTTCGGGATGTACAAATTTGCATTCAAGACCCTAAATTTTCGGGTGGAATCTGATCATATTTTTGGATCGAGTAGAATATTGACAAATGAGAGTATGATGTTAAATTGAGGAAAAGGGACATGTTTTGTAGCCATGGACTTATTATTCATACAATCATACTTCATACTAAAATTTGTATTAATATAAGTAGGATGATAAACGCTTAGAGAGGATCACAAAAAATTACCTTGAGATGATTTTCTAAGATCTGTTCGCGTTGTGTCTTAACCATACAACTCTTTCCGTAGAAATAGACTGCAATTTAAATTACACATTAGGAAACCTTAATTATTGTACGATGAGAACGCGCTGAATATCCATACATATGTCCATAAGGTGCTTCGTAACATCATTATCAACATTAGAAATATAAAAGAAAACAAGCCAGTTACAAAAATATAATTTGACCAATACATCTCCACTTTCAGAGAAGTATCAGTTTGGTAAACTGAAGGGTAAGAGAAATTAAATGAACTTGAATCTGTGTAGTGCCCTAGTGTGTACCTGGCAGCAGTAGATTCAAAACAATAAAACAGGAAGAGTCTAAAACACTGTTTATAACTGTAGTGTTAGATCAGAGATAACCAACCCAAATCCATTGTTCTGTGTCTTGGTTGTATTCATCATAAGAAAAAACCTTCAAAACATAAATTCATCACCACAAGATAAGATCTACAGTCCATGTCGGAACATGTCAACAGAAGTTTTACACAAACAAATGCTATCACAAACCAAAAACATACTATGTCTTGTATGCAACGGGTGTATTTTTCATACTTGACAAACTTGACTTTACTTGTTAAATACAATTGTACCTGTAGTATACAAGTCTCTGTGACAATAAAAACAGAAACTTGGAGGGTTGGGGCGTTCGAGTCTAGGTAACATAAGCTTTATTCAGTGCACAGTTGCTACAAACACCATTATCTGTTATTATATAAAGAATTTGAAAGATGCTCGCAAATATGATGAGGAAAACTAAACAGAAAGAAATTTGGGCCAATTATCAATCTATTCCAAACTCCAAGATCGATTCAACGCCAATGGATTTGAATTACAGTGCATAATTGTCAAAATTCCTAAAAAACAGTAGTGCTTCATTACAGTAAAACCCTACTAGCAGGGCTTGCACTTGCCCACATTCTTGCTCAATTTTGATGTACAACTATGGAAGGGACTTTGAAAATGATGTAAGTAGCTGCCATACCATTGATATTCCAACACACGATGTCAAGACACGCTGCACTTTAGGTCTTCCCTGGCTCCTCGGTTCAAATTAAACACATGATATAAGCTCAAATTCTAGCAGAGCTCTTGGCCTCCTCCTGTATCATGTACTCTTTCTTCATTTCTTCCAGAACAGAGTCATTGGTACTGCAAATTTGGTAACAATAAGTTAGATATTTAGCTGTCATTTAAGATAATATATCAGAAAGATAGTTTGCTGATCATTTTTACTAACACAACTAAAGGACACCAGAATTACTTCTTGAAATCATTACAAAAAAAAAGTTCCCAATACCACAACAATACAACACAGCAGCACGGGAGATTATTCCGCATAAGCAAGGGGCTGAACCTTCAAACAACAGAATTAACAGCTTTTAATATACATGAAAATATAGCTTAACTATTTTATTTTTTTTTACAAAAGTGAATACAATTTTCCAATCCTTATTAAGAATACAATCTATTTGTTTCGATGAAAATCTACTGTGTAGGACATCACAAGCCCATCATAACCTTGAGCTTCACCATTGTTTTATTTTTTTATTTATCTTATTTTCTGAAAGTATATAGCATTACAAAGAGAGAAAGATAAACAGCTTAAGCTTATGTACAGTGACATACAGGTACCTGCTGCAAACAAAATAATGATCCATACTAGATTGTTATACAATGTACCTTCTGGCACTAGAAATAGTAATGCTAGATTCCTCATAGTGCTTATTTCCTTTCAATTTAGGAATAAGTAATAAAAATAAGTATAGTGTCAAGTGCCACTCATAACTGATTGCCAATGGAACCACCCCCACATTTCAACCTTAATCCTACATTTCAAACGCCACAAGAATAACTTTGGTGGAACAACATTGCACTCCACTCATCACAAAGTGCCAATGAGAGTATGAGAAAATATTAGAGGACAGAAGAGAAATGATGATTCCAAACTCTACATGACATAAACTACAATGACTTGCAACAACAATAATCCTTCTTGGAAAAAAATAATAATAATTTTTAAAAAAAAAATAGTTAAGCTTTTGTGGTTTTTCATGCCAAGAAATGTTTTAGGAGCTTTGCCTTCCAGTATTACTCCCTCTGTTTTTAAATACTTGCTCCACATCTCCATGCGCGGAGTTTTAGGAGATATTAGAGATAGTAATAAAATATGGAGGTAGTGGGGTTGGTGGAAGAATAAAAAATTATAGAAAGCAAAAGTAGTGGAGAGAATTGGAGGAGAGAGAATATATGTTGGGACCACTAGGTGAGAGAAATTGATTAAATATTGTAAAAGCTTTCCAAATAAGGAAATGGAGCAAGTATTTAAAAACGGCCGCAAATGGAAAGTGGAGCAAGTACTTAAAAACGGAGGGAGGATAAGATAGGAAATCCAACAAGAAATATTTCTTAATAAAGTTGAACATAAAATTTTTTTAAAAAAAAAATCATAAAAATATAAAATAAAATAAAAACACTTTTATCAAGCCACCAGCACATCGAATCATTACCCTCAAGATCTTAAGACTATATATTCTTACCAAGCATTAACAAATCTTGAAAAAGGAAACTTCTTCCTTAAGAAGATCACTTGAACAGCTTCAATAAATGAGCATTTAACGATGAGTCTTCAGAACAAATTTCATGACATAATTAAACCCCAAACCACTCATTATTTCAAACAGTTGAAGACTTGAAAAGACAAAACCCTTCTAATATGGATTTCCAAATGCCTACTCTTGCAAAGGAAAGACCGTCTTGCTCCCCCACCCTGGAATCATCTTCCACCTTAGCCTCTCTACATCATATTAAATTTTACTGACATTTGTACGTAAAGCCCATTTCCCTTTGCAAACTTTCAAGGCCACTTAGCCTTCAGAGCAATATACATGGTACTGAAAGGCATAAGATCAAGACGACCAAAATGCTTGGGGTGACACACATCTTCCCACCTAACCCAATGAAAGACATTTACGTAGTATTTTAATCTTTGATAGCCAGTGGAGTATCACTCTAGCATCCTTTGGCTTTAAGCCTTTAACACATACTTGCCGGAATACCATACATGGATAAAAAAATAAAACAGCACACAGCATAATATGTAATCAACAACGTTAATCAACCAAACAGGTTTACATGATGGAGCAGAGCCCCAACTAAAAGCTAACATAGGAAGATGAAAAAATGTCTACTCCGCAGCCAAATAAATCAGCCAAAGTCTCGAAATTAAGAACTTCGCAACTCAAGCCAAACATTGCTTCCAAAAAGAAAAAGAGTCCGTCTCAAATTATATCGTAAAGCGTGCAATAATAGAAAATAAGAGCAATGAATACTTGAGAAAGGTTAGCTGTGATGCATATGCCTTCGAGATGACATAACTCAATAACCGTGCAATTAGTTTACACAAAGGTTTCTTTACAAGAATGCTATCAGTCATGCTTAGCCTATAGGGTTGTCAACCTCTAACACACTCAATCACATGGCATGGATGTAAATATCTAAACTTAAGCCTCCAAAATTTGTTACATTTAAGACTACCGACTTCAACTTTGACTTTACAACCATTACTTAACAGACAAGCATCATAAACTGAGTGCACTTACTATTGATGAAGGCAATTATTCAATTCCTCTGCTTGTTGCCTACACTTCCAAACAACGGATAGAGTCCTTCCATAAGCACATTCAGCATACTTTGAAGTAAAAAGATCACATTCTTTTAGTGCCTTTGCCTTCATTTTGCTGCGTAAAGCTGGAAGTTAGGTTAACATAAAATTAGCAAAGTCAAAAAAAATTGACAGTGAAGACAAATTACATAAGTCCATGAATCCTACATAGTTAACCGGACATAGGGATACAATGTCTACCTGTACCTAATCCTTGGAACAAAGACTACAAATGTGCGAGGAAAGCACGCAACAAAATCAAAACAAAAAATTATATCACAAGGTCACTAATGCAAGGGGCATCTAGGCTAGAGTTAAATGAGAGACACCCCGCTTACGCAACCGTTTCTCTCATTTCTGCCTGAGTCTATGCAGATTGCAGGGGCTGTATCTACTACTTGCTCAGTTGCAATTGTGGCGACCAAATTATAGGACAATACCCACATGGTAAACATCTAATTCAGGCTTTTTTACTACATTTTTCTAAAATACAAGCTGCATTTCTCATTACATTAATCTGAAATTTCTTTTGATTTCATTTCTTTAAACTTGAAATCATACAATCTTCTTACCAAACCTAAAATCACAGCTTTTTATCTCCCACTTAATCTACCAACTGCTTTAAACTCGGCCTTCTAAACCTAAACCTAAACCTAAACCTAAACCAACAATTAACCCCCAATGCGGAATCATAAAAATTGATAGCTTACAGTAAGAAATTAAGAGAAACATGCAAAAATTAAGCAAATCAAAATATAAAAATGAAATTCCTTAGCACCCAGATAACTATAATAAATGTAATCTTCAATTAAAACACTACAATTTTCACCTATTATCCAAAAAACAAGGGGATAAACAGGAAAAACAGGGGATAATTAGGGTTTAAGAAAGTGCAATTAAAGGTTTATACAATTCTCTCACCTTCTTCAACCTTCTTCTTGACATGATTTTCTCTGGCTTCTTGGAGAATACCCATTTGACTGGTCAAAATTTCCAGCAAAAAAATTGCAACCTTTTGATCGAATCAATGACGTTTTGATGTTGGGTTTGTGGATGGATTGTTGAAGAGAGATGCAACCAAAATTTGATTAGTAAAAGTCAGAAACTCAAAAATGGTTGAACCACAGCGTTTTGCTTTCTGTGTTTATTTTTTCTGTAGTGTTGGCCTGTTGGGCCTGGCTCTTTGGCTATCGGCTGGTTCCCTCATTTAGGCCCGTTCACTTCAGTTTATTTTTGGTAAATTGAAATTATTTTTACTGAAACAAAATTATATTTGCTGAACTTAAATTAATTAAACTGAACTGAAATTATTTTTACTGATTTTCTATTATAATTCTTCTTTAAGAAAACTGAATTTTACTGAACTGAACTTATTTTTACTGAACTAAAATTATTTTTACTGAACTAAAATTAATTTTATTGAACTGAATTTATTTTTACTGAACTGAAATTATTTTTACTTAATATTGTTTCGTATTTTTTTTAAGCTGAAGTGAATAGAGCCTAAGCGAATAAAACTAAATGACAATTTTTCCTTTAATAATAAAGGATGAACCTACCTCTTTCAATAAATATAAAAAAAAATTAAAAAAAAAAGGGGATAAACCTACCTGACTAGTCTTCCCGTGGCTTTATGAAATTATGATAGCATGCACTTACCTAAAATTGTTAGGGGCCCAAATTTAAGTAATAAGGTAAGATATCATTATAATCTTCTTTTTTAATTATTATTTTATTATTATTGTTATTATTATTATTAACAAAACCTATAAAGTCAATCAATTTACAAGAAATTATAATTAGTGGGGAACCGAGATACAATTTGGGCCCCTAACAATCTAGCTATAGTGAGTCCGATCCTTGTGAAGATGTGAGCAACTGCATGAGCACTAATATCCTGAAACCTAGCGAACGCCTGAACCCTTTTTAGCAACACAACCGCATTCTTCTCTAATTCCCCCACTAAAGATAATGAGAAAGGAAGAAACCCATAGCAATAGCCCTGCAACGCGTCCCATACTTGTCCCGCTTCCGCTGAGCCGTAATCGACACAACATGATCAGGAACGAAGTCAGAAAATCCTAATTGTGTCAAAGGAGAAGATCACGTCAAGTCAACACATACATTAAGGCCTCTGTCCTAGGAATAAAGCAACATATCCGCTGGTCGAAGAGTTCCATCGTTTCCTCCAAAAAACCCAACGTTAACCTCTTTCGAGCATAATTCCCCAACCGGAAACAAATATCAACAAGGGTATCACGAACAACATTATGTCGATGTTTAATACCCACCATCCCAACACATGACACAGCATGATCCCAAAAATATCTCCATCGAAAACTCCTGAGCATTATTATTATTATTTTTTATTATTTTTTTTTTAAGTTAGGGCACGGCGTAGAATTTCTAATAGTTGAGGGGTTTATATTGTAGGAAAAAACACTTTAATAATCCCAACTATTGTCGATTTACTTTTAATAATCCCAACTAAGGTTTATTTTTTAACAATCCTAACTATATGTGCCCTTAATTTTCCTCCAACAGTCCCAAAAACCGGTTACCTGCTAAAAGGGTAATTTTTTTATTATTTTTTTTACAACGCCACATGTTAGCACATGATTGACCTAATATTTAAAAAAAATAAACAAAACCCATTCCAGCCACCCCCAGCCCACCGGAAATCGCCAACCAAACCCCAGCCAATCGGGAAACAGGCCGACCAACCCTCAAAACCACCCAGCCACCTCCCTCTACCCCGAAAATGGTCGACAGGTCCTCCCAACCCCCAAAACCACCCAGCCACAACACCCTAACACCACACCGCTAAACCCACCTAAACTCGCTGGAAAATAGCCACACTTCCCCACTAACCACCGAAACCAGCCGATTTCAGCTTTACGACCCTTGGTGACCTATCCTCGACCCCCAAAACCATCTTCCCAGCCACCCCGATTCCCAAAACCACCAAGTCCAACGAAAGTCCATCATAGTGGATGGGTAGGTGGTTTCGGGGGTCGGGATTGGGCTAGCTAGGATTGTTGAGGTTAGGTCGGCGATGTCCGGTGGGTAAGGGTGGTGGTCGTTGAGTTTCCGCCAGCGATGTTAGGCAGTCAGCTAAGATTTTGCGGTGGAGAAGGTGGTTGGGAATTTTTGGGCTTTTTTTGTTTATAATTTTTAATTTTTTTTTTTTTAAATTTGGACCAATCACGTGTTGACACGTGTCATGGTACCTGTTATAAGAGGTTGTTGATTATTTGTTGACCGGTTGGGACTGTTGGAGGAAAACTAAGGGCATAGTTAGGATTGTTAAAAAATAAACCTTAGTTGGGATTGTTAGAAGTAAATCGGTAGTTGAGATTAATAAAGTGTATTTTTCCTACATTGTACTCGGTAGAATTTTTCCTATTTTTATTTTAGCAATACGAGTTCATAACCATTATAAAAGTGAAAAACTAAATATTGTAGCTTATGAATAGTAATTTCTGGTGCTATTACATAGATGCCCTTATAATTAATGAATTGCCCAAATTGCCCTTGCTTAATCAATTGCCTTTTGTGATAGTTGTAATTGAGAGAGGGCCCCTTGCTTCTAGACCGACTCCCCTCTCTCTGTTTTCATCTCATAAGGAAAGGGTCAGAGCATTTGATTAAGCAAGGAGATAGAAACCTAGAGAGAGAAAAATTCAGCAACTCAAGACCACCGATCATTAATAAGTGGTTTATTTGACCACTTATTGTGTAAATTTAAACCCGATTTTGCGTTCATTTCCCCTCTTTCTAACCCAATTTTGAATGAAAATGTTTTGTCTCGGCTTTCCCCCTCTTGGTTTGTGTTTGTCCATGTTTTGCAGGTCTATGGACTCAATTGGGCAGGCTTTCGGTGCATGAATCGTGTTTAAGACAAGAGGATTGAAGATTAGAGAGGGCGCTCCAGGGGAGCGGGCGTGCACATCTCTTGGAGCGGGCGCTCCTTGACTCTAGCTACATTCTGCCCAAGTTCAAGTGATGTTAGGAGCGGGCGTGCATCATGTGAGGAGCGGGCGCTCCTCCTTGACTCTTTCAAATCTGATCCTTCATTGAAGCATTCCGGAGAGGGCGTGCAGCCGAAAAGAGCGGGGCTCCTCATTGTGGAGCGGGCGCTCCTCGCTGGGAATCCGTTTTCTTTTGACGGTTTTCCCTATGTGTTTCGGGGAGTATAAATACTTCCCCTTTAGCTCATTTAGAGGGAGAGTACAGTAGCCTAGTTTTCAGAAACCTGTCTTAGTTTGAAACATTCCTTAGGATTAATTTAGCTTAGTTTTCATCAAATCAAATCATTGTATTAGTGAAATTCAAGAATTACTCTCAAAGTTTGGCAATTTGTATTCAACATTTGAAGCTTCAATTAGTAATTTCTCCAACCTTTTTCCATTTAATTTCAGATTTTATTTGGTATTTGCATGTTATTTAAATCTTCTTAGTTCTTGGTAGTTTGTTATTGGATGATAGTTATTTCAATTGTTAACCACTTTTCCCCAATTATTGAAGTATTTAGAACCCTAATTCCTGATTGCATGTTGATAAACATGAGTTGTGAGTAGTCTTCTTGCTAGGGGTTGGATGAAGCTCGACCTTTTGGGTTAACTATGCAAATGTGGGAGAAGCATTGATGTTTGTATTGCAATTAAATTGATTATATGAGATTGCTTGTTAGTTCCTCATGATAAGTTTAGCTACCCTTGACTTAGGAGCTTGATAGTATGATATGCCTACACTAGTGGAAAAAAGCCTATCCGTAATGGGCAAAAACATCTCATCCGTAACGGGCAATGACCGTTACGTATGCGGCCGTTACGGATAGCAAATGTTATTTGTAACGGGCACTTATCCGTTACAAATAAGTTGTTATTCGTAACGGGCAAACAAGTGCCCGTTACAAATCACGGGGTTATTCGTAACGGACATTTGAAATGCTCGTTACGAATAACCCCGTTATTTGTAACGGGCATCCAAATGTCCGTTACGAATAACCCTGTTATTGTAACGGGCATCCAAATGTCCGTTACGAATAACCCCGTTATTCGTAACAGAACATAGTTTGCCCGTTACGAATACTTATTTATTTGTAACGGGCCTAAAATCTGTCCGTTACAAATAGTGTGTGATCTAATTAAAAAAAATCCAGCAAATGATGGATTGCTTTGCACACTATTTTATCAATTAATAATGAGAGATATTTATATTTTATACAAATATAGTATAAATTAATATACAATCAACTAATATCTTGCAAACTTACAAATTGACTTAACACATCCTACCAAACCGGCATTGTTCATTTATCCAACTATAAACATTCAGAATTATAGCAAAACAAAATTGGAAACTCAGAACGACATCTCTTAGACAATGGCATTGGCAACACTAGCAATCCTTGGCCACAAATCGGCATACTCCTTTGCAATGGGACCAGTAATAGCAGATCCTGAAACATAGAGAGATATGGATTAAGACGGGGATATATAAACAATTATATTGTAATAAGCAATAAGCAGATAAGTAAACTTCATATACAGTAAAATTGTTGGCATAATAAGCTTTTTATGTTTTGTTTGTTCAGAACACACCCACAGAGGTGAAGAAGTTTCTAATGCTTTACATCTCAGACAAATGTTATAAACATATACACTGAAATGCAGCCATGTCAAAATAACAGAGAGTTCACACCTAAACACATCAACTCATCAGATGCTAGTCTCAAAACATGTGAGAAATGTTCTGCGGCAACACTAGTCAATAGACTTTTTTTCAGTTAACAAAAACAGAAAAGGGTTGATTGTATACAAGTCGAAAGCTATAAGAAGCAACTTGTACAACATTAATTCACAAGATTGTGTTGTGTTTTGGATCATAAATCAACAAAGCAGGAAATGGGATGTAGGGTGCAAAAGGTTCCATTGATAAATGGCAAGGGAAATCTTTGTAACAAAATTTTGATGACAAGGGAAGTTTACTTCACCTACCTACCCAGTCCCCTTACTTAAGATTTTTTTTTTTGTTTTGAACCATTACATAAGCTGATATGCATGTTACACATTCCATATAAATTCAAGTAAATTCAGGTTTCATGGAAATTGAACAGTCTACCAAAATGCCATGAAATTCTAAGCTACCATGTCAAACTACTCCCGAAATAACAAAGGCTCAAATATAGTCACAAAGATCCCCCATAATATTCAAAGTTGGTGCAATCACATAACTTTCATTTCACCCTTGGGGTTGACAATTACTCCAGCATTATCTGTAATAGAAACAAACACAATTGATTGTCAGCAAAAGGTAAAATTCAATTAAAAAAGATTTTTAAAAAGCAAATCAATGCATTCAAGAAATTTGATTTACATGAACAGGAACATCTAAAATTCATCGAGTCCCATAGGAAATAATGCCAATCAAACCCCTTTAGTGCTAAAAACATTCCTCAAACCAAAAAATTCAATATAATACTACTATACTTCTATGCAGTGCAAGGATTAACATCGGTTATATGGGTATTCAATGCATCAGTAAATGAGATAGAATACGTCGGCCTTTGCTGCACCTGCCTTCAATTGAAAAAGATCATAATAGTGCTTCATGCCACTATCTACCAGAATCCGAAGTTCAACATCGGTTATATGGGTATTCAATGTCGCAATTCTGTTTATTCTGCTCCTCAACCCAATGTCCATACTCCATCTCAAAAGCAACAATCCCTAAAAAGAAAAAAAAACAATAATTAAAGAATGCATAAGTCTCATGTTTTAAAATTAAAGTAAGCTTAATAGGTATGCACTAAAAATAACTCCATATTGGTAAATCCGGATGAATGCATAGGATCTAGTAACGGAGATAGGAAATGAGATCAAGAGACAATTTGGAGTCACAAGTTCCCAATAGTCTGAATCTTTTTTCTTTTTTTTTTTTTTGGCAGCAATATAGTCTGACTTTACTTCAGTATAGTTTCATAGTCTATCTCAATATCAATTAAAAATAAAAGGCTATACTCAGCACTCTGCTTACAACTTTCAAATGACTTAAATTGATCTTGTTTGTAAATAGATTGCTGATATATCAAGCTATGCAACTGTAGAATTCTACATTTCAAAATAAGAAGGCTTTTATTCAAAAGACTCTTGACTGGTCTGTTTTAATTTATTAAACCTTACTCCACTTAGCAGTTTTTTAATTTTTTAAATGATTGAATGAGCAATACGTGCATTCTTAAAATAATGACTTAATTTGCAGCTATATATTACACAAACAACTAATTGAATTAGCAGTTTATCAAAAGACAGAAATTTTAAGTAGAAGAATGCTAGAAGCAGACATATTGGAAGGCAAACCTGAATTATAGTGGCAGAGAAAGGAAGCGGGTCAATATCATTGCTTACAAGCGTACCCTAGAATCAACCATTTAAGGATGTGTTTAGCATTTTGATTAAAGATGCAGTCTTTAGGAAACACATCTATAATAGATAAGAAGGGCAATGAGAATTATGTCAATTATCATCATACCTGTTATCTCACTCGTTCAAGCTCTTGCTCCATTTGCATCGATTTTGAATGGCTCAACTCTAATTGCTGAATATAGACCTATAAATAACAAAGTTCCAAGAAGAATTAGATCAGCAGAAACAAGTACCATAACTCATTAAACTTGTAACACTTCTCTTCCCACCTTTTTCCGCATACGACTTTTGCGAGCAGCCTCACAATTTTGTGCAATACGTCTTTGTACCTAAAAAAAGGTAGACAAGCAAAGAAATTTTCATAATACCGGAGAAGAAAATGCACATCAGCATCAAAATCATTTGTCTGGCAAAACACTCATTTTAGTGTCCAATCCATAAGACTAAGTGAGGCTTCGCCTTAAAGCCAATTGGCAACAGATAAAGTGACTTCCTAGAAGTGGAAAATGGTACTTTGCTCTTTTTCCCAATGTGGAACAGCACCCAAGTGCATATATGGGTTTCAATTTGCAACAACTTAAATCAAGTATATGCTCTTTTTCACAAGTATATTTGCATTAACTTAAATCAAGCGTTTACATTATTATTCTAAGGTGCTGCTAATTTTATAGGTTCTAAGTTCTAACTATAACGCTTAGTCTTCTCACCTTGGCCACAAACAAGTTTGTGCACCACTGTGCAATATCATCGCTTGTTTCAGGCAATTCATGCATCAAATGCCGCTTAACTTGAACTTTTACCTGCAACATAGAGTAGCTAGCACATCAGCATCAAGAAAGTCTCAAAAGGCACTAATAACACATCATAGCAAACAAAAGAAAGGGGGAATACCAAAATCAGCAATTTTTACTATATTAGCTAGATTTATTTTACTATGCTTCTCTTACTATAAGGACAGATCGACTGCTACTTACCACAGAAGATTTGCCCTTTAATAAAGTTAGCAATGAAGGTGGGGAATTATCTCTTGCTACAGTGAAGGTAACATCATATACTGCTGGAACAAATGAGCGCAAATGTTTTACAGCCAGAATTGGACCCTGAAAACACCCAGATGGATACATCATACATCAGTATACATCATTAGAAGGTAGTTCAAACCACATAGTTCAAACCACATAAAAACTCCAAATGGCAATACAAATAAAAAGGGAGTTAGCCCCCAAGGGAACACATACTCTGTAAAGAACATATGTACATCATAGTGAACTTTATACTTATTAAGATCAGTTAATCAAATTTCAAAAGAAAAACAAAAAAAAATATATATTCCATAAAACTTCAAATAAAGATCAAATTGTACTGGCTAAAATGATAATTGTTGAGTAAAATTGGCAGAAACTAAAGCAAGTCAAGCAATTAAGATCAAATTTGACACTATCAAATCAATAATTACAAAAAAAAAATAATGTAAATTAGCATATAATAAGCTGGAAACAAGATCAAATTCAGCATTTTACAACATTGCAGCATCAAATTTGAGAAATTAACAAGGCCAAACAAAATGATAATATACAGAAATTAAAACAGAAGTAAGAAACAAAAAAACGTACCGGATTTTAACGGGACTAATACTGCCGGCGGCGAGTGATGCCGGTGATAAGATCTTGGCCGCATTTTGCAAATGATTTTAGATTATCGACAACCGAAGCAACTGGGTCCATTTAGAAAACCCTAACCCTAAAATAATAGGATTTGAAGAGTGGATCGTGAGTAAAAATGGAGTAATTTTTCGAACAATATTACATAAATTAAACCCAAAAAAATCAAGGCATTTAACCTGAATAATTGGACCAAAACGCAAAGCTAAAGAACCCAGAAACCCTATCATCAAATTTCTGATTTTTGAATCAATAATTGATTCAAGTTTGTTGTTGTTGTTGTATTTGGTTCAAATTGACGACGGTGGCGACGGTGGTTGTGGGCAATCGATGCTTGCTCCGGATCTAACCCCAACCAGAAGTTGACGACGCTTCTTCGCCTTTTCAGGCGCAGACAATGTCTCGTCGGCCTCGATCTCCCTAATGTTCTTGATCAAATCACTCTTGAGTTTTAGCTATTGACAATTTTTGGTTTGAGTAGAGAGAGTGAGTGATTTGAGGAGAGAGAAAGAGCAGATGAGTGAGGAAGAAAAGAGATGCGGAAAGAGAGAGTGGCATGAGGAGAGAGAAAGAGAAGAGGAGTGAGGAAGAAATGCGGCTGGGGGAAGTGGGAACAGATCGAACATTTAACCCTAGAGAGTTATTTACTTGTAACGGGCTTTATATTTGTCCGTTACAACTAATAACTATCCGTAACGGACATTTATTTGCCCGTTACAATTATTAATTGTTCGTAACGGACATTTGTTTGCCCGTTACGAATAAGTTTTTTGTAACGATCAAATATTTTGCCCGTTACAATTACTCTTTTTGTAACGGATTTTATCATGCCTGTTACAAATAGGGTGTTACAAATGACAATTTTTCCACTAGTGCTAATTTGACATGGAAGTGTAAATTGAGTATGTCATTACTTATTGTAATTTGATTATGTATCATCTATTGCTAAACTAATGAGGAATCTAAGTTTAGTAGTGTGAGTTGTTTTCTAATTGCATGAGGTTGATTTTACATATAGTCCTTGCTATATCTTGTCTATTTTACTCCTCGTATACCTAATTGCCTTGGTTGAGTGGATCTCATTCCCTAGTATCTTTAATTTATTGATTTAGAACCATAGTTTTTTTGTCTTCTTGACGAACCCCAATTCACCAATTGACTTCGAATTAGCTTAAGTGTAAAGATCTTTGGCAACCATATCCCGTTCCTTGTGGACCGAACTCTTACTTGTCATTATGCTTGGTTTGTAAGGTGTTTGTTAATAAATGTGTTTGATTGAGTGTGGAATGTACGACCGTTCGAACGCCCATCAAAATGGCGCCGTTGCCGGGGAGCGGTGTTGTTGATTGCTAATTGATTACTTGAGTCTAGTTCACCATAAAAAAAATTTCAAAAAGATTGTTTCTTTTTGGCTACACTTGTAGCCTTGGTACTAATTGCGTTTGTTAAGAGTGTATGCGCAGAACTCATAACAGGATCTTGGTACCTTACGATCCCGAGATTGAGCAAACTTATAGAAGGAGAAAAAGAGCCGGTTCTAGGTCGTTTACTACTCCCCCAGCTAGAGAGACCAATTTCGAGGAGGATCGAGATCAAATGGGTGACGCGGAACCACCACCTCAAAGACCTTTAAAGGAGTTGGGAACTCCGGGAGCTTATAGAGCTTCAAGCGGCATTGCTCCACCCGTTACTCAAGCCAATGACTTCGAGATTCGGCCCGCAATGATTAATTTGATTGAAAGGAGGCAATATAGTGGAGCAAAACATGAGAGCCCTCTTGCACACTTGAACAAGTTCAAATAATATTGCAACACGGTCAAGGTAAATGGGGTAACTCAAGAGTTTGTGAGACTAAAGTTATTTCCTTTTTCTTTGATAGGAAGGGCTCTTGAATGGCTTGAGAAGGAGGTGAGGCCTAACTCCTTGAGAACTTGGGACGAGGTCACCACGGCTTTCTTAGGAAGATTCTATTCCCAAAAGAAGACGACTGAGGCAAGAGCTTTGATCCAAGGTTTCCGTCAAAAAGCTAGTGAAACCATTTATGAAGCATGGGAACGATACAAGGAATATCAAAGGGAGTGCCCTCATCATGGAATTCCGTCATATCAAGTGCTTCAAATTTTCTATGGGGGCTTGAGCCCACAAGGAAAGACTAGCTTGGATGCAGGAGCGGGTGGCCCGATTATGAACAAGACGGAGGAGCAAGTCATAGAGATAATTGAGGATGTGGTGAGGCACCACATGGATTGGCAAGAAGGAGAGAGAGATTCTCTAAACAAGGGAGGAAATGCGGTTTACTCCGTTGATCACCTTAATGCCATCAACAATTTGACTTCCCAAATCGCCAACCTTGGAAAGGAGATGACGTCCATTAAGGCAAAACTAGAGACCTCTAGTTCAACACAAGAGCATCCCTCCCAATCTAAGGGGAGAGGTATGAATTATAACTCTTCTCCCTCTACTTCTAATAACATGCCTCATGGATGTTTGTTTTGTGAAAATTATGGGTCATATGACCATGATACCTCTTCTTGTAATTATGATTTCCAACCCCAACCCCAATACGAAGATGGTAATGAAAATGAAAATGAACAAGTCAATGCCTTGTCTTATGATAATAGACATAGGAATGACAATCAAAGATACTTACCACCAAATAGAAGAGAACAAGGGGGGAATTCCTATAACCAAAAAGGAAATGATTACGATTACCATAATCAAAATCAATGGGGAAATAGGAACCAAAGGGACCAAAATCCCCAAGGTAACTACAACCAACAAGGTGGTTATGGTAACCATAATCATAATAATCAAGGAAACTATGGGAATCAAGGGAAATTTCACCAAGGGGGAAACTCTAATAATCGGAACAATTGGAACAACAATAATAATAGAGGTTCTTCTAATCAAAATGCGTCCAATTCGAATGTTAGAGGTAATAGGGCTTCCCAAGACAACTACTATGCACAAGCACCACATAGTAGGTCTAGCTTGGAGGAAATGATGGAAAATCAAACTAAAATGTTCAATACTTTCATGGCCTCTAGTGAAAAGAAATTTAGTGAAGTGATGACCCATAATAAAATGCTAGAGACACAAATTTCACAATTGGCCAATGCTTTGAAGGAAGGGACTAGCACTTCTAAACTACCACCCCAAGGACTAGATCCTAAGAGGCCCGTAAATGTTATATCAACAAGGAGTGGTAAAGTGTTGGAAGAAAGTGTTCCTAAAAAAAGCAACGAGAAAATGAACATGAGTGAGCCTCCCTTTAAAAGTGATTTTGAACAAGAGAGAGAGCAAAACCATGAGAATGAAAAGGAGAAAGAATGTGAGAAAGAAAAAGAATTTGAGAAAGAGAAAGATTTTGAAAAAGAGAGTGAAGAGAGATGAGAAAAAGAGAGAGAAACAAAACAATTACAAAAACTACCATATCCTCACAAATTTGTTAGAAACAAATTAGATGTGCAATTTGGAAAATTTCTTGAAACATTGAAACAAATTCACCTTTCAATTCCTTTTACCGATGCTATCAAACAAATGCCTAACTATGCTAGGTTTTTGAAAGATATTTTGAGTGGAAGGAGAAAGTGTGAATTGGTTGAAACGCTGAGTCTCACCGAAAATTGTAGTGCAATTATCATGAACAAGATGCCACCCAAATTAAAAGACCCCGGTAACTTTTCTATCCCATGTGCAATATACAAGATGCAAATTGATAATGCTTTGTGTGACCTAGGGGCTAGTGTTAGCCTAATTCCATACTCGGAATACCAAAGACTTGGGATAGGGGAACTTCTACCCACCAACATCACCCTACAATTGGCCGATCGCTCTATTAAATTCCCAAAGGGTAAGGTAGAGGATGTTCCTCTAAGGGTGGGGAAGTTTGTAATCCCGGTGGATTTTGTTGTGTTAGAGATGGATGAAGATGTTAACATTCCAATAATTCTAGGAAGACCTTTTCTTGCTACTTCGGGTGCTTTAATAGATGTTAAAAGTGCTAAAATTTCACTAAAAGTAGGAGATGAGGTGATAGAATTTGATTTGAATGAGAGCGTGAAATATCCAAGCTCTAGTCTTGATAATTGCATGATGATTGATACTATTGATTCTATTGTAACTTCTATGCATGAGCACTTTCTCACTACTAACGATGCCCTTGAGAATGTCCTTTTGAACAAGGAAAAGATAGGTGACCAAAGCAAAGAGATGGCATTGTATGAAGAGATGCTTGAAGGAAGTACGGAATCAAGCGATGAGCAAGTGTGCATGGGAATCACAACACATGATGCATTAGAAGTAGCTACCTCAAGAGAAGGTAAGGGTGTTCCAATGGTAGAGTTGAAACCTCTACCATCACACCTAAGGTATGAGTTTTTGGGCCCCAATTCAACTTTTCCGGTTATTGTGAATTCTTCTTTGAACGAGTGCCAAACTCAAATGTTATGTGGTGTTTTGAGAGACCACCAAGGTGCTTTAGGCTATACCATAAATAACCTCAAAGGTATTAGCCCCGCTTTATGTATGCACCACATAACACTTGAGGAGGGTGCTAAGCCTTCCATTGAGAGGCAAAGGAAACTCAATCCTCAAATGGGGGAGGTGGTGAAGAAAGAAATCACCAAACTCCTTGATGTCGGCATCATCTTCCCCATTTCGAGTTCTAGATGGGTTTCCCCCGTTCATGTGGTCCCTAAAAAGGGAGGAATGACCGTAGTTGAAAACGAGAATGGTGATCTCATTTCAACTAGAACGGTGACCGGTTGGAGGATGTGCATAGACTATAGACGTCTAAATGCATCCACCAACAAGGATCATTTTCCTCTCCCTTTTATCGACCAAATGCTTGAAAGACTAACCAAGCACAAGTATTATTGTTTTCTTGATGGTTATTCGGGTTTCTTTCAAATCCCTATAAACCCGGATGACCAAGAGAAAACAACTTTTACTTGTCCCTATGGAACTTTTGCATATAGGAGGATGCCCTTCGGGCTTTGCAACGCACCGGCAACCTTCCAAAGATGCATGATGAGTATTTTTGGGGACATGCTTGAAGCCGAAATGGAAGTTTTCATGGATGATTTCTCGGTAGGGGGCCTTTCGTTCGAGGATTGTTTGTCCAACTTGGGCAAGTGCTTGACAAGATGTGAGAAGGTCAATTTGGTTTTGAATTGGGAGAAATGCCACTTTATGGTGGAAGAGGGAATTGTCCTTGGTCACAAGATTTCAAGCAAAGGGATTGAGATCGACAAGGCCAAAGTTGAAGTGATAGAAAAGCTTTCGCCACCAATCAATGTGAGAGGAGTAAGGTCATTCTTGGGGCATGCCGGGTTCTATAGGAGATTCATCAAGGATTTCTCACAAATTGCTAGACCCCTAAATGATCTTCTTCAAAAAGATGCCATCTTTATTTTTGATGAAGAGTGTCTCCAAGCTTTCAACAAATTAAAGGAGGCTTTAATCTCAACTCCAATTGTGCAAGGGCCAAGATGGGATTTGCCATTTGAACTTATGTGCGATGCAAGTGATTTTGCGATTGGAGGAGTATTGGGGCAAAGGGTAGAGTAGAGGCTTCACGTGATTTACTACATGTCTAAGACCTTGAATGAAGCTCAATGGAACTACACCACAACGAAGAAAGAGTTT